TGGAAAGAAGAAGGTCCCAAGATGTGCACATAGACTGCTGTCCTCCACATTCAAAGATGATGCTGCTGACAATGATTTGTTTCTGCTCTGCTCGGGTGTGACAGGGAAGATCAATAACCAACACAACAGGCAGCCTTGGCCCTTTACACACCACACCGGGCAGAGGTAGAGAAATGCCCCTTGGCTGCGTCCACAGGCACTGTTTGTGAGACTAGCATTTTCTGTGATGGCTGTCTCAGAATTTGCTTTTACCCCAGAGCCTCCCTAATCCTAATTACTACTCAACAGGCTGTTCCCCAGCAACTCTCAGCTATGTTTTCAGGCCTGGAAAGTACACTGCAGAGAAATGGGGATGGGCTGTGTGTCAATCTAAATCACCTTTTCCTCCCCGGCTCAACTCTGACTATCGTCCTTTGTTACAAGCTTGTTTACTTGGATATTTAATAACCACTGAAGTAATTAGGTGTCTCTTCTTGAATGTGTTATGATTTGGATCTTACATGCCCCCCAGAGGCCCTGTATTAAAGGTTTGGTTGCCGGCCTCTGGTGCTATAGGGAGACGGTGGAACCTTTAGAGGGTGGGGCCTAGTGGGAGGAAGTTAGGTCATTGGCAGGGGTTCTCCAAGGGATTATTGGCATCCCAGCCCCTTTCTTTTATTTTCTTTGCCCCCTAGCTGCCATGAAGTGAGCAGCTTGGTCCCACCATCTTCTCCCTGCCGTGATGATCTGCCATACTTCAGGCTTAGAAACAATAGAGCCAAGTGGCAATAGATGAAAACCTCTTGAAATCATGAGTCAAAATAAAACTTTTCTCCTCCAAGTTGATTTTCTCAGATACTTCATCACAGCATCGGTCAGCTAACACACCATGTCACTTGGCCCCTCCTCCACCCCTCACTCTCTCATGTGTACTTAGGACTTTCCCTGGACTCCACTCCTTAATAACCCACCTGTGCAAACACTGCACTCTCAACCCTGAGCACACAAGGAGCTTGCTTCAAACTGCTGTACAGTCATCTTAAATCCAACCAGGTTGTGTTATGTGTTTCATGTTGAATATATTTTATTTAAGTTTACTTGTAATTTCTCTATTGCTCTGCTATCATTTGTCAGTTTGCTACAAAATTTAAGAAAAATACAATTAGAAAAAACTTTCATTGAAACTGATCACTTAAAGAACTGTGAGGAAAAAGTACAGGGCGTCAAAAAATATAGAAGACCTTGGCAAAATGTCATAGTGTGATTGAATTTCAGGAAAAATAAAAGGAAACATCTATTTAAATAATTTAAAATAGAGAATGGGTGAGAGATTGAGAATGGACAATGTTTTCATGATTACAACTGTGTTTTCCTACCTGAATCTATTTTGCCTGTTCAGAGAATGAAATTGTTTTTGCTGAAAGGAAAACCAGGTTAAAAATCAAGCCATGAGGCAGAGAATTTAAAAGCCATCCTTTTTATTAAGAGTGGAGACTTTTAATATGATTATTCTTGTTACTATCATTTAATTCCCTTTAATGAAGTGAAGCTTACCCAGAATTAACATTCTCCGCTCTTTCTTCTGTTTTAGGGGAGAGATCAGCTTTAAGACTACAGTTCCCTTTTCTTATTCCATCCCTCCTAAGTTGTCCAGGCATTCCTCTCCAAGTTGCCTTTATTCTCAATTTTATATCCACTTCCTTCTTGACTTATCAAGCTAAGGCTTCCCCGAGCTTCTGTGTGGAGGGGAAGGGCACGGCCCAGGTTTACTTGTGCTCTGTGGAGGCTGTTCACATACCATAGTCACTAACCTGGTGGACAGCTAGTGGGTGACATAGGTGTTTTAGAAATTTGACAAAACAGGAAGAAAGCATTTCCTATCAGACATGAGTATGTGAAACACATCACTACAGTCTCTGTTTTCAATTGAGCCTGGATTACTTTTAGTGTCATTGTACATTGGAAGCTCCTTGAGGGTGGAGCTATGTCTTGTTTGGCTTTTTATTTCCATTGTCTGAAAGTGCCTGACACATTTGATGTCATTTTCTGTTTTCCTGCTGGCAAGTAATTACACAGAAACACGATGCTGATGCCCTTAAATAATTTACCTAGGACTTTGCCAAGCAGTTTTGCTTCCAGATAGAACTGCTGTCATCTACAGCATCAACCGATAACCACTATTTGAAGGTTTGAAAACACTGGAAATGAGCACGTTACAATACAAAAATGATTTAACTTTCTAATGTCTGCTGAATTTCATTTGGCTGCAAGCTAACCATCTCACACATTTCCTTGCCTGGCTGATAGTTTCATTGCTCAGAAATCAGAAGAAAGACCAACAATAGCAGATACTGGACTCATAGGAGCAGAACTGACAGAGAAGAGAAATGCTGGGAATTGGAAGAGGAGGAACTATCATCTCAGCATGTTGGTGGGGAGAATAAGATAAGTGTGGTTAGACACACATCCCAACCTTTATGAAAACTGGTATAAAAAGTTCAGAGAAAGCATCATCTGGTGGCAAGAGACTTGAACATTTGGGAATCTTTGTGAAGTTTCATCTTGAACACAACTTGTAAAGAGAGGAAAAAAGGGCCTTTAGAAAGTTTCAGATAATGATAGCTATGTGAATCCAGCTTGCTTAGTCTTCACAAGGTCTCTCTAAAATAGGTCTTATTCCATTTTAAAATGAGAAAATTGAAGCACAGAGAAGGAAGGGAACTTGGTCAACCTTACCCAGCTAGTAAGAGGCAAGGCAAGCACAGAAGTCTGGTGCCAGGGACTTGAAACCATGTACTTCCCTGAATGTCAAGAAGCTCCAACCCTCGAATACACAGGCTTTTCAGAATAAAGTGAACAGCAAAGAGCTAGGGCCACTTGTGAATGAGATTAGCATGGTATTAACAGATGGTGGGAAGGCCAGGCTGCTAGGGTCATTCCATTATGTTTATTCTTCAAAAATAATAATCTCCAAGCTGAAAACATTAAAGACAAGAAAAGAATCCTCCAGACTACAGAAGACTAGCTTCTCCAGGTTCACTCCAGTCTCCAATGGCGTGATTTATGTCCCAGGGCCCAAAGCAACTTGCAAGTGACACAGAAAACACAGGCACCTATGAGAGACCAAAAAGAATGTGGGAACATCCTGGTTTAAAAAAAACAAAAAGGAAGAAAAGGTAAGGAAACAACATACAAGTGAACTTGATGCTGAGACCTTGACATACCCAAAAGCATTAGAAAAAGATTTACAAAACTGGTGTGGTTTTTAGGAGTCAGTATGAGTTCACTTAAAGGTGGTCAAGACCACAGAATATTTTAATCAGTTCAGCTTCTGGACTGCTAACCAAGAGGAATATCACAATAGTAACAACATTATCACCATCATCATCACCATCAGCACCAGTACAGCGCTGTCCACAGAGCTCACCGTACACTGCTCATTTGGTCCTGGGGCAAAGCATCCCATGTCACAATCACTGTCTTACCACTCAATCTCAGCCACGAGATCTCAGCTTGTTGCACAGAAATGAAATAGAGTTCAGTGTGATTCGAGAATTTGTAACTTATTACTTGGCAAAGAAAAGGGAAGGTACATAAACATAGCTGTTGCACAACTATACTTAAAATGTGTCCCAGCCTGGGCCAGGGATTTAGCTCAGTGGTGCCGCTGCCTGCCTCGGAAGCGCAAGGTCCTGAGTTCGACCACCAGTACCAAAAAAAAAAAAAAA